CTTTGTTACCTCCTTTCCCATTTGATCAATTCTACTTTTTTAAGAGCTTTTTTCTTTAGTGAATTTTTGTGCCTCTTTTTCCATTTGGCCAATTCTACTTTTTAAGACATTCTTCTCCTTTTTGACTTTTTGTACCTCTTTAACCATTTGGCCTAGTCTCCTTTACAAAGCTGTTGATTCATTTTTTCCTGGTTTTCTTGCATCACTCTCATTTCTCTTCCCAATTTTTCTTCTATCTCTCTTACTTGATTTTCAAAATCCTTTTTGAGGTCTTCCATGGCCTGAGACCAATTCACATTTTTCTTGGAGGTTTTGAATGTAGGGGCTTTGATTTTGTTATCTTCTGAGTGTGTATTTTGATATTCCTTGTCACCATTTTAACTTCCCAAGGTCAGAATGTTTTTTTGTTGTTTGTTTATATTCCCAGTCTGTTACCTGACTTTTAACTGTTTGTTAAAATAGGGCTCTGCTTCCAGTGTGGAGAATGTGTTGTCCCAAGCTTCAGGGGTTTTGTGCGGTTGTTTTGAGAGATACTTCTAGAGATCTGTAACTTTTCAGTTCTTCCAAAGTGGTATGATCTAAGGAGGGGCGCATGTATTACTCTCTTGGCCTGTGTTCTGCTCTGTGAGTGACCACAAGATTCTTTTGCCCTGGAACTGTGAGGAGGGTCCTTGCTCCGTTCTGCCAACAAGCTCTGGTGTACTAGTGCCCCTCCTCACCCTGGAACTGCCACCCATGTCTGTGACCTGGATCTGAGTATGGGCAAAACGACTGAGTCCTGTTTCAGTTCTAACAAAAAGAACCTTATAATCTCATTCTGACCAGTTGTTTGACCCCTTCACCATCTGTGGGCTGAGAATTTCAGGAATAGCTGATGATGATGATGATTCAGTGACTCCCAAGGCCTGCTCCTGGTTTGCTGAGGCTGTGTCTGCACCTGAGCAGCCTGCACTAAACCGTGCTCCTCTCTCACCCCTGTGTGACAGACTTTTCCTCCTGCCCTTCTAAGTTGTCCTTGGCATCTGTGGGCTGAGGTCTGGAGACCACCACTGCTGCCACTGAGTCAGTTGCCCCAAGGACTGCTCCTGGTTTGCTGGAGTCCAGTCTGTGCTGGCACAGCCCGAACTAGACTGCACTTCTCTCTTACTCTGGTGCAGCAGACCTTTCCTACTGAACTTTCAAGTTGTGTCGGGCTGGAAAATTGTTTCACTCAATCTTTTTGTGGGTTCTGCTCCTTTAGGATTTGTTTATAGTCATAATTTAAAGGTATTTGGAGGGTTTGGGGGAGAGCTCAGGCAAGTCCCTGCCTTTCTTCCATCATCTTGGTTCCACCTCTGTAATCAATTATTAAAAGGGTTCTTTGTGAGCATTTAGAAAGAGAAAAGGTGATTACTACAAGCCAACATGTGGTCATGAAATTTATGCCAAACTCATCTGATATCTTCGTTGCTACCCTCCGGATGACTGGACAGTCAGATCAAGGAAATATCATAAACATAGCATACATGAATTCCAAAAAGTTAATCAATATTTATTAAGAATTTACTAATGTATAAAATATTATGACTAGGTACCAAGGATATACAGATAAAAAAATAGAATAGATGTTCTCAAGGAGTTCCATTCTAACAAGAGGGATAAAACATTTATACAAATCAGAATATTGCAAGGAAGGCAGTAATGGGGACAAAGAAGAAAGCCACATACAATGTTCGAGGCATATTTGACCAAGGGTGAAAAACATTTTGCTGGGAGAATCAGGTAGATTACAAGATAGAGTGGAACTTTAATTGAGCTATGAAGGTAGATTGAGATATAGATTATGAAAGGTAGAGATGATCAGGGAATGATTCTAGACATTGGGATGGCTTTTGTGAATATATATAAGTGGAGAATGGAATGTCATTTTTGGAGAATAGCTACTATTCCAGTTTTGTTGGAACATATGATGTCAGTCAGTGAATCAACAAAAATTTATTAAGCATGTATTATGTACTAGGCACTGTACTAAGCACTGGGAATAGAAACACAGTTCCCACTCCTAAGGAACTTATATTATAATAAAGAGGGAAAGATAATGCAAAAAAAGGAAATTGAAAAGAGGAAGATGGTAGAAACAAAGGTGCTGGGAGCATGGTAGAGAAAATCCTAAGGATAATCTGGAGAGAAATGAAATATAGCTGGCCTGAGCACTCTCTTTCTTTTTTTTTAATTAACTAATTTGTTTTTAGTTTTCAACATTCACTTCCATAAACTTCTGAGTTTTAAATTTATTTCTCCTTCCCCTTTCCCCTCCCCAAGATGGTGTGCAATCTGATGTAGGCTCTACATATACATTTTTATTAAACATATTTTCACATTAGTCATGTAATGAAAAATTAGAACAAATGAGAGGAACTACAAGAAAAGGAAAACAAAACAAACAAAAAAAGAGAGAGAGAGACCGCAAATAGCATGCTTCAATCTGAATTCAGACTCCATAATTTTTTCTCTGGATGTAGATAGCATTTTCCATCATTAGTCTTTTGGAGCTGTCTTAGACCTTTGTATTGCTGGCAAGAGCTAAGTCTATCAAAGTCAGTCATCACACAATGTAGCTATTACTGTGTATAATGTTCTCCTGGTTTTGCTCCATTCACTCAGCATCAGTTCATTTAAGTCCTTTCAGGTTTTTCTGAAGTCTGCCTGCTCATCATTTCTTATAGCACAATAGCATTCCATTACATTCATATACCACAACTTGTTCAGCCATTCCCCAATTGGTGGGCATCCTCCCAATTTCCAATTCTTCGCCACCACAAAAAGAGCTGCTATAAATATTTTTGTACATGTGGGCACTTTTCCCATTTTTATGATCTCTTTGGGATACAGCCCTAGAAGTGGTATTGCTGGGTAAAAGGGTCTGCACATTTTTATGACCTTTTGGACATAGTTCTAAATTGCTCTCCAGAATTATTGGACCAGTTCACAACTCCCCAACAATGCATTAGTGTTCTAGTTTTCCTACATCTTCTCCATCATTTATAATTTTAATAAATAATAAAGAAACAAACAAACAAACAAATAAATAAATTATAATGTTAGCCAATCTAATGGGTGCAATGTGGTACCCAAGAGTTGTTTTGATTTGCATCTCTCTAATCAATAGTGATTTAGAGCATTTGTTCATATGCTTATAGATAGTTTTAATTTATTCATCTCAAAACTGCCTATTCATATCCTCTGACCATTTATCAATCAGGGAATGACTTGTGTTCTTACAAATTTGATTCAGTTCTCTTTATATTTTGGATATGAGGCCTTTATCAGAGACATTGGGTATAAAAATTTTTTCCCATTTTTCTGCTTCCCTCCTAATCTTGGTTACATTGGCTTTGTTTGTGCAAAAACTTTTTCAATTTAATGTGAACAAAATTATCCATTTTGCATTTCATAATGTTTCCTATCTCTTGTTGGGTCATAAATTCTTCTGTTCTCCATAAATCTGACAGGTGAACTATTCCTTGCTCTCTCAGTTTGCTTATAGTATCAGCCTTTATATCTAAATTGTGTACCCATTTTGACTTTATTTTGGTATATGGTATAAGATGTTGGTCTGTGCCCAGTTCCTGCAATAATTTTCCCCAGCAGTTTTGGTCAAATAGTGAGTTCTTATCCCAAAAGCTGGGGTCTTTGATTTTTATCAAATAGTAGATTGCTATAGTAATTGATTACTGTGTCTTGTGTACCTAACCTATTTCACTGATTCACCATTCTATTTCTTTGCCAGTACTAAGTAGTTTTGATGATTACTGCTTTATAATACAATTTAAGATCTGGTATGGCTAGGTCACCTTCCCTAGCATTTCTTTTCATTAATTCTCATGATATTCTAGACCTTTTGTTCTTCCAGATGAATTTTGTTATTATTTTTTTCTAACTCCATAAAATACTTTTTTCGTTAGTTTGATTGGTATGGCACTGAATAAGTACATTAATTTAGGTAGAATTGACATTTTTATTATATTAGCTTGGCCGACCCATGAGCAACTCCCGTTTTTACAATTATTTAGATCTGACTTTATTTGTGCAAAAAGTGTTTTGTAATTGCATTCATATAGTTCCTGGGCTTGTTTTGGCATGTAGACTACCAAATATTTTATAATGTCTACAGTAACTTTAAATGGAATTTCTCTTTCTGCCTCTTGCTGTTGGGCGTTGTTGGTAATATATACAAATGCTAATGATTTATTTGGGTTTACTTTATGTCCTCTAAATTTGCTAAAGTTGTTTATTATTTCAAGTAGTTTTTTTTTTACTTGATTCTCTAGGATTCTCTGTCATCATATCATCTGCAAAGAGTGATAACTTTGTTTCTTCTTTATCTATTCTAATTCCTTGAATTTTTTTTCTTCTCTTATTACTAAAGCCAACATTTCTAGTACCATATTGAATAACAGAGGCTGAGGTCCCTCACTAGTACAGTTTTGATGTCTATTTCATCCCGTAACTCCCTTAACTTCTCCTCCAAGAATATGGATGCTATACCACTTGGTGCATATATGTTTAGTTATGATATTACTTCATTGTCTATGGTTCCTTTTAGCAGGATATAGTTTCCTTCTTTATCTCTTTTAATTAGATCTATTTTTCCTTTTGCTTTGTTTGAGATCAGGATTGCTATGCCTTCTTGAGCTCTTTCAAGAAGGCTTTTTGGGCTTAAGACCAGTTCATATTCCCTTTTGAGGTTTCAGATGTGGGTATATTGACAATGTTGTCCACTTCTGAATTTGTGTTTTGATCTTCCCTGTCCCCATAGTAAGAATCTATGGTCTTTGTTTTTCTATGTTGCTTTTAGCTCATGGCGTTTGTCTTTTTCCTGGCTTTTAAAGTTAATTTCTGCTTCTGGGGCACAGGGGGCACTGTCCCACACTTTCTGTGCTGGGGGCTAGGGATCTGGCTACTGGCTTTTTGTGCTGGGGCCTCAGGTTCTGGCAGCTGGAGGCTGTAGAGGCTGTAGCTTACTTGGTGCTGACCTGGAGTTGGTAGTAGTAGCTGGTGTTGGTCAAGGCCAGGTGGGGTTTTTCTGCATTTTGGGGGGTTACACTGAAGCTTGCTGGGTAGGGTGTGGGTGTTCTGGCTGCTGGAGGTTGCCTCCTCACCTGGGGCTGTGCCAGAGCACGTGTAGGCTCAGCTGCTGGTGGACACCCATCTTCCACACAATTGGTAGGTCTCTGTGCTGGTGTCTGCCAGTTCCCCTGGCTATGCCAAGGCATATGGTACAGGGGTGGGAGGTGTCATGGTGTTGATGCTTGCCCGTTCCACTTTTCTGGGGTGGGGCTTGCTGCTGGCTTGCTGGGATGCCTTCCATACAGTACTGGTCCCCTTCAGTCACAGCAATAGGGACCTTTCCTATTAATCCCCTTAGCCTCACGAGCTAAAAAACTGCTATACTCCATCTTTCTGCTGGCTCCACTGTCTTAGAATTTTTCTTGGGGCAATATTTTCTGGGTTTTTCAAGGTCAATAAGGGAGAGTGCCAGAGGCTTACTGCTTACTCCACCATCTTGGCTCCTGGAAAACCACTCTCTTTCTTAAATGGAGATTCTAGGAAAAGCCATACAACCAAAGGGAGAGGCACAGGGGCTGTGAATGTATGAAATGGAGGTATGTGAAATCGAGAAGGACAGGTAGTTTATAATTTGATTGCGGAGGATTTTAAATGCTAACCTAAGAAATTTGTATTTTATCCTAAAGAAAACATAGGTCATTCGAATTTTTTTTAAGGGGTGGGTATGTGTGACATGGTTCGACATATGTTTTGGGAATATTATTTGGTAGTTCTGAGAATTATCGATTTGAGAAGTGAAAGATTGGAGGCAGAAAGAACAATTAATGATTTATTAAAACAGTACAGGAGACAGATTATGAGATCCTCAACTAGGATGATAGTTGTGTGATTGGAAAGACTGGAATGGATGAGAGAAACATAAAAGGAGAGATGACAACATTTAGCAACTGATTAGGGTAAAGGCAAAATAAGTAGAGGTAAAAGTTAAAGATGAGGATTTTACTCTGAGGAATAGGAAGATGGCACAGTGCCATCCCCAAAAATGAACAGTAAGATTTAAGCCAAAATGTGATTATTTGAGTTTGTTTTTGAGGCAGTTGGGGTTAAGTGGCTTGCACAAAGTCACATAACTAGTATGTGTCTGAAGCATTTGAACTCAGGTCCTCCTGACTCCAAGGATGGTGCTCTATCCACTGTACCACCTAGCTGCCCCTACCTAAATTTTAATGAGTTGTTTGCAGTGCTGAATATTCAGCACAGGCAGGACTGGAGTTTATGAGAGAAATGACAACTGGATTTATGAATTTGGGAGTAATCTGTATAGATGTAATAAATGAACCCTTACATGTGGATGGGAAAGAGAATGTAAAGGGAGAAGAGAAGGAGAGGGAAGATAAAGCCTTGGAGCATAAAGGCTATGACAGTGACAAATACACCTGGAAGATTATATCAAGGCATAAAGGAACTGAGTATAAAATTAATGATAGATTACATATTTTTCATCTGAATTCTAGCCTAGTAATGGAAGAAAAGGAGGTTGATCTTCTCCCTACCCTTCCCACAGTATGTTTATTATATTTTAAACCATGACAATAATTTAACACGGAATAATAAATCATAAGGGGCTTCTGACCTTATGTCATTGGAAAAAGGATTCATTCTGATGAAATCATATGCTAAGAATGTGATAAATCCCACTCTTACCATTTCAGAGAGTCATTTATTAAATTTTCAATGTGAATATTTACACCTCTTAAAATAGGAGATGTTAAAATTGCAGCTTGGCTTGTTGTTTTGGTGATTATATAGACTTTTAAGAAAGTCTAAGATTTTCTTAGATAAGAATGTGATGGATAAAGTTTAAATAATGCAGATTAAGCTTTAAAGTGTGTTATGCACATTTTTTTTTCTGGAAAGCCAGTTGTTAAATATTTACCAGCATATTCCTACATATGACCCTAAATATTGAAGAAATTATAATGATTAACTATTGAGTTAAAAGTGACATAAGTAAAAGTGGTGGGAGAAATGTCTGGACAGCTTTTCATGTGAAAACGATCTAAACTAGAAACTCAACAAGCTCACAGGGCAGAAGACAACCCAAAATAAAAAAGCAAATTTGTTTTCATCTACATTTACATTTCATATGTCTACATTGGATACATTCCAATATCCAGAATCAATGATGTAATCATCTCATTGAATGCTGCCCTGGGCAGTTCACATATGAAGCATTTCATTCAGTTCTAAGATTCAGTTCAGTTCTAACAGTTGTTAGACTATTGACAATGATAAGAGGAGGATAGACAGATATTTATATGGCACTTCAAATTTTGCAGATTATCCTAAACATTTCACAACAATCCTGTAAGATAGGAATCATAGATATTATTGTCCCCATTTCACAGAGGAGGGAACTGGATGGAAGGAAATAGGCACTTATTACATACCTACTATGCTCGAGGCACTATGCTAAGCATTTTACAAATATCTCATTTGAGACTCACAACAACCCTGTGAGGTAGGCACTATTATCCACATTTTACAATTAAGGAAACAGATAGGCAGCAGTTAGGTAAATTGCCCAGGGTCACACAGATGGGAAGCTTCTGAGACCAGATTTAAACTTGGGATTTTTTGACTCTAGGCTCAGTGACCTACCCAATTTGGCACCTAGCTGCCTCTAGGAACCCAGTTGATACCTGAGAGTCTTATAAATTAAGTATCTTGTTAATACACAGATAATATATGTCATCAGGGAAGTGGTGGTGGTGGAACTTATATTAAGGTCTTCCTGACTCTGTCCAGCAGTCTATCCACTAAGATAAAGCTGGAACACATGAAAGAGAAAATATTGAGGGAAGAGGAGAAGAACATAAGCAGTTCTATTACAAAACCAACTCATAGAACTTTGCACGATTAACCTAGATATGATGCAATACTAAAATACTTAAGGTCTACATGATCTTTATCTTCAAATGTTTGAAGAACTCTCATTTAGAAGATGGATTAAACCAATTCTGCTTGCACCTAAAATATGTGGTTAGGAGCAATCAACTATAAATGAGCTGTTTATTTAAGCTACAATGAGGCATCTTTTAGTTTAAGACAAGGAACCCCATATTCTTGTTCTCACTCTGTCCCTTCTCCAATCCACCTCACTCACACACACTGTCCCTACAAAGTCACATCACCTCAGGGCTTCTTTGCTTTGGAGCAGCCTGAGCAGAGCTTGGCGAATCAGTTTGGTTTTCAAGCTATAGATAATGGGGTTCAGAATAGGTGGGAGTAACAGGTAGATATTGGCCATAATGACAGGAACAATATGTGGAGCAGTGACAAATAGACGGTGTGTAAGTGACACGCTGATCATGGGCACAAAAAATATGGTAACAGCAGCAATGTGGGAGACACAGGTATTGAAGGCCTTTCGTCGCTCATTGGGGGAGGTGATGCTCAAGAGGGTGCGGAGGATCAGGATGTAGGAGAGGAGGATGAAGAGCAAGTCAACACCAGAGTGGGAGAGTAGAAAAAATAAACCAATCAGGCTACTGAGCCAGGGGTTGGTGCAGGAATGCTTGATCATGTCCGGGTGGTAGCAGTAGGGGTGGGAGAGCTCATGTCCTCTGTGGAAAGACAATCCCTTCAAGGCCAAGACTATTGGGAGTATGCAGGCCATTTGCTTCACAAAGATCACCAGACCAATAAGCATGATGGTTGAATTAGTGAGAATTGCTGCATACCTTAATGGGTCACAAATGGCCATGAAACGATCAAAGGCCATGGCTAAAAGCACAGAGGACTCCAGAAAAGAGAAGAAATGGAGGAAGAACATTTGGATGATACAGGCATTCAAGCTGATCTCTTGCAAATTGAACCAGAGGACACCCAGCATGGTGGGAAGGGTTGTAATTGTCAAGCCTAGGTCCACACCTGATAGCATAGACACGAAGTAGTACCTGGGTTTGTGGAGGCTTCGTTCAGTGATTATCACAAAAAGGATCATACTATTTCCCAAGAGGGCAGTGGCATAGAGACAAGAGAAAGGTATGGAGAGCCACATATGATTACCTTCTAACCCAGGGAAGGCAGTGAGGCGGAAGGTTGGGGATAGGGATGTAGTATTATTGAGAACCAACATGGTAGGCTAAGGTTATACCTGAAAGAGAAAAAAAAAAGTTGAGTCCTCATAATATCCCATTTATCATTTATTGGTGAATCCAAGTGCTCTTTCCTCTATAAAACCTTCCTCTCCAACTAATCCAGCTCATGACATCTCCCTTTTCTTCATTCCTATTACACTCCTCTATGAGTATCATAATTTACTTTCTACATAATTAAAATATGTTTACATAATTTTAAAACTTTAGATAATTAAATATCTTAGATTTTAATACAAATTACCTATTTCATTAAATGCTTTCCAATTACATTTTTAAAATTTTCACATTTTTAAAAATTTTGAGTTCTGTGTTCTCCCTGTCTGTCCTGTCCCTCCCTCACTCTTGAGAAGGCAAGAAATATCATATTAATTATGCATGTGAAGTTGTGCAAAACATGTTTTCATATTAGCCATGTTGTAAAAGAAAAAACACACACATACATATACAAACACAAAAGAAAAAAATAAAATTTTAAAAACTGCTTCAATTTGCTCTCAGTGTTTATATGAATATTAGGTTTTAAAAGAAGCTTAGAATTCTATCCACCCCTTTCACGTGATCCCTAAGATGGCAATCATTCTATCAGCTTCTGCTCAAATACTTCCAATGTCCAGAGAAATAATTGTCTCCTAAGGCAATCCATTCCATTTTTCAAATAATTCTATTCCTTGAAGGTCAAACTCAACCTTCCTTTAACTTACACTGATTGCCATTACATTTGCCTCTTCAGACATACAGTAGTATTACCGATTCCACATGATACTCCTTCAAATATTTCAAGGCAATAATAATGTCTTCCTTAATCCTTTTCTACTCCAGGCTGAAAATATGCTATTACTTCATCTATTTCTCATAGCTTTTTTTCTTTATAATCTTATTTCTCAGTTAATAAAACAAAGTAACTATCTTGTGTGCAAAAAGTCTTTATTACAGTGGAATAAAACTCTACTTTATAAACAAATGTTGATTGCCACTAAATAGTTTGCTGTTCTATCAAAAATACTATTTTGAAATGTTACAAGTTTCAAATCTCTTCCCGGTTTCCCTGCTTTGAACACATAGCAGGTTAAAACAGTTCTATGCACAAGCTCTCTGTAACTAACTAAATCTCCGTCTGCCACTCAACTCATTACTATATGTTTAATTTGTTAATTCCAAGCTCTGCAGTTATATAGGGATATATTGGATAATTTATTTCTTATTAGTGTATTACAGTCTCTTCTTATTAAATAATTAGCTAAAATTCCCTCTTCATGAATTAGAGAGCCCATCTTTTCTAGTGGCAATTATCCTTATTTTTCTCTATTCAAAGATATATTAAAATTACCATACATAGAACTGTTAACAAATGAATGCAATAATAAAAATAAATACATACAATACATACAAAAATAAAGACAACAAAGTCACTTCAAACTCTCAGTATACCACTATTCTATTCTTCACTTTCCTGGAAACTAATAATCAAATCACTCAACTAATTCCAGAGCAATGATTAAAGTCTACAAAACATTTGAAAACATTTCTCTTCAGGATTATGCCTTTCTCTTTGCCTTTCTTTAATAAACACAATAATAAACATAAAAGTCACTCTTTCCCCGAATGTACTGGACTGCTAGCTCCTCACATATCCTTCATAATACTTCATAATTGCTTTTATAGCATTTTCTCATAAAATAGCACTGAAGATAGTTTTCATAAAAAGAGTCCTTAATCATCTTCTGTTACCATTAAAAAGATTATATTTTAAAATTCATTATTAATTTAATGAATGCTTCCCAAAATAACATTCTCATATGCAAAGTATGACAGCAAAGAGGAATTACATATGAAAAAGTGAACCTCTATCATGTGCAGCTTGCTTTTATTGAAGTAGATAATGAATTCAACACATCTTTCCTGCTTGTATATGTTTCCATCTGAACCTTCTTCTGTTCCTTTTTGTACATTAAAAAGTGCCTCAATGAGCCTCTTTTCTTTCTTACCTTCTTTTTTGACAACCCTATCACTAGTCTCCCTCTCCTATCCTGGCAATACAAGACAGAGAAGGTGAAATGGGAGAGACGATTTGGGGGGCACCTGCGTATTTTCCCACCTAGTGACTGAGGACTGAACAACCTAGACTGGTCCTGTGGAGGACTTCATTTCTTGTGCTGACTGGTTTAAAGGAACACACAAAAGCAACAGCATTAAGCACTTGGGGTCCTAGAGTTGAAGGTCAGCCATAGCACCCTAAGAGTGACCAAAGCTTTATTCTCTTTGAAGTACTAGAGGGGAATAGGAGCAGGGTCAGAACCTAAGCACCATAACTGTGCTTCTTCAAATTTAAGTTTCTTGTTGTTACTTTATTTTTCCTTTTGCATTTCCTTTGTAGATACCTAAATATGTCAATGTTTTCTCCTTTGCAGAATATAAGCTCTATGGTAGCAAAGTCTGTTTCATTTTTAATCTCTGGGCCTTTAGAACCTAGCACAGTGATTGCCACAGTACCAGTGTTTAATATATTTTTGTTGATAGGTGGATGTTTATTTATGCACATATGCAGGTTGTCTTAAAAATCTTAGGGCAATTTGCCATGTTATAAAATTTGACAAGATTTTTAATACTGTATGGTCTATTGAACAGAAAATACTTGTTCTAGCAGTATGTATTAGCAAAGTATATCTGGTAGAACATAATAAGATATTAGAAATGTTTATACTTTTCTCAATTATCTGGGAATAAAAGAGTTTCAAAGATGGTATCTGACAATAGCTTAGAAAATGGAGAAAAAGTGCTATTCTCCCCCAAAATCCAGACTTGCTGCAATTTAAAAAATAATTTCTCACATATAAATTAGAACCACTTGATTGATACTCTGAATTAATGCTGAAATAAATTTCCTGAGACAGAATAACTTTTATTTCTTCTCTTACGCTATTCTGTCATCTTTTCCTTTGAATGGAAAATATCTTTGATTTTCTGGCTTATTCCAATCATAGGTTTCTCATTGAGACTCATTCTATAAAGATGGGTGTACAGTGTGCACATTTACATACTTCTGTGATTCATATGGTAACTGTGAAACATAATCAGAGATCTGGAGTAATGGACACATTCATCCTACCACCTCTTGTCTGGAGATAGAGCTTTAAAGAGGTATGGTGTATTCTAGGTTGAGGCCTTATGGGGCTCCCTCTTGCCTGGAGCAAACCTTTGGAGATTTCCTAGCTTGACTCCCCTAGGCAGCTGTGTGGGTCTGCAATATGTATGCATTACAAAGCCAAGAATGACTGTTCCGAAGATTTGATTCCTCAGGATTCACCCTATTTATCCTTAAGCTTTGGTGAATGAAATCCCACAGATCAGACTTTGTAGCTCTTGCCAGCCTTATCAGAGAAGGACAACATGGACCCCAGACTTACCTGCTGGCCCAAAAGTGGAAAGACAGAACACAAGGACAAGTGTATCTACCTTTAGCACCTGAAGAAAAGAATAATGATGAAATATTTCTTTAAAGGATAGCAATGAATTCCTCATTTGTGTTTGTTTTATGTCTTTTAGTTGATAATTGTTCTGAAATCTCAGGTTAGAATTGAAAATAAAGTTTGTATCAAGGGATTTTGTAAGGAAAAAAAGTCAGTGCAGTTTTAAGCTTTAATAACTTTAGAAGCATAAATGTTACAAACTTACAGATAAACATAAGTTGAAAATTTTATTACTTACATTTCTATTACACTTATTTTTCTTGTCAATTTGAATGATATATCTTAAATTTTAGTTTTGCCAATGTGGGGAATTATTTGACACTTTCAGGATGACATTTTCTCAGACTAATGATTCAGTAGAAGAGGCTTCCCAGGAAAATCAGAATGTGTGATGAAATACTGGAAGCACTTCCATTGTCAACATATTCATACTATTCCATTCAATAAACACTAATCATATTATATGCAAGTCATTGTGCTTGTACCCAGCAGAGATCGAAAAGTGATTAGGATATGGATTCTCATTGAGTTCAGATCTAATAGGACAGAAAATACAACTGGTCTAAAAGTGCAATTATAAGCTTTTATAAATTCAAAAGTGTGAATACTACAAACATATTGAAAGAAAACAATATTTGAAAGGTTAATTACTTAAAAATGTTAAATATTGATATATTTCTAATTAATATTAGCATAAATACTATCTTGTGTTATACATTGCTTCAGTTGATTTTTGACCTTTTAAAAAACTTTCATCAGAGGCTGCTCAGTGACTTGAAAGGATTTCATTTGTAATCATAGCTTTACTATCACTCAAAGAATTGTATTTTGGTGCATACATGACAGTTTTGAAATGGTTCCACAAGCAGAATCCTAATGGAGACAGATCATTTGACTGAGGTGGCCAAGCAAAGGGCCTTCCTCTACAGAAGCACTAGTTTGTTCCTCCCAGCCCTTTGCCCCAGATTTAACAATATAGAAATGGCACTAAAATAAAAAATTAAAAAACGTATCAGTATTGATCTCTCTCTCCCATCTGTATCTCTGATTGAGCTGAGTTGTCAAAGGGAGTCAGAGACTTTAGAGGTAAGAATCTGTTAGGATGACTTGCCACCATCATTCATTCAATTGACCAACAATACTTATTATAGGGCAGGACCTGTGCTAAGTTCTGAGAATACAAAAAAAAGGCCATTGCTCACACATACACACACACACACACACACACACACACATACACACACACAGAGTACTTATCCTCAGGGAGCTTACTGTACTAATTGAAGAGACAATATATAAATTCAAAGCTACACACAAGAAGCATGCAGAATAGAAGGAAGACAAATCCTAGAGAGGATGCTTAAGTGGCTAAGGGACCCTGGAAGGTCTCCTGCAGAAAGTGGTACTTGAGTTGAGTCATAAAACAAGTCAAGAATGTCAAGACATGGAGGATAAAAGGGAGAACATTCCCACTAGAATACATGAGTACAGGTTTCTAACCTACTTGGACC